GGCACAATTAGAGAAGACAGCAGCAGGAGTACAAGGCCACAAAAGGACAGAGGACTGTCCCGGCAGACATCACACTCTGGCAGCCGTCCACTAAACCCCCTCACGGCACCAACGGGTCGGATGGGGAGGGGGTCAAAACAGGCAAAAGATCGGCAGGAAATGACAATTAGAAAGGAGAAGAGGGGGGGGGGGGGGAGAAAAACGAAAACATAAGGAAAAGACAAGTTGTCCAGCACAATTTGCGAGGACAGCAGCAGGAGCGAAAAGGCCACAAAAGGACAGAGGACTGTCTCATGGAGCACCACAATCCGGCAGCCACCCACCAAGCCCCCTCACAGCATCAAAGGGCCAGACAGCAAGGGGGGACCTTACTGACAGGCTCCAGTATGTTTCTGTGAATAATTCCATTTCTACCACCCTACTTATCAACATTGATGTTCCTCAGGGCAGAATACTTGGCCCTCTCCTCTTTCTCATATACAATAATGACCTTCCACATGCCTCTCAACACCTCAAACCAATTCTACTTGCTGATGACAACCTTCATTTTCTCCAGTCCTGACCCTTTTGCTCTTAATGTCACAGTGAATACTGAACTAAATAAAGCCTATCTTTGGCTAACTGCCAACGAACTCACCCTTAACGTTGACAAAACTGTCTATATTTTGTTTGGCAATAAATCCTCAAATCAAATTAATCTAAGAATAAACATATATCCAAATTAGTAACGAAGTAGATCGAACATTCATTGGTGTTCTCATCGATAACAAGCTGAATTTACAGGGACACATTTTAAATATATGAAAAAAGTTTCTAAAACTGTTGGCATTCTTTCTAAGATCAGATATTATGTACCACGCCCTGCCCTGGTGACGCTCTATTACTCTCTCATCTATCCTTATTTCAATTGTGGTATTTGCGCTTAGGGTTCTACTACACAACATCATTTACGTCTTCTAATTATTCAACACAAAGCTGCTATTAGAACAATATCTAACTCTGGCCCCAAACAGAACTTGGTACCCTTACTCAAATCTTTGAATATGTTAGATATTAAGTCACTGCACATCCTCTCAAGTGTACTCTATATATTTAAAACTCTGAACTGTAATGCCAATCCTGACCTTTGAAGCTTCCTAGAAAATTGTAACAGAACTCATGAGCATCACACCAGAAACAAATACCTTTTTGATATTCCAAGAGTGTGACTTAACCAAACTAGAAATGCTCTATAAATCAAGGGACCCAGAATGTGGAATGGTCACACCAATCATGTCAAAGGCTGTATCTCTCTCAACCAGTTTAAGAGTAGAACTAAGTACTACCTAATTAACTCCATGTATCCTATCTTGCCCCCCTGTCAACCCATATCTTGCTATTCTAAACAATGCTGTTTGTTGACAGGACTTGTACAATTGCTGATTTTTTCCCTGTTCCCCCTTTTTTCTTTCTTTTTTGTATTCTTTTTTTTCTACAGAATTTATACTTTACTCCCAATTACTATTAAGTATTAGTCTAAGTGTTTTTGCTCCACACCTTGCCCAAAACACTAGGCATATTAGTGGCTTTAGGTACTGTATGTACTAGCTCTATCTATAAATCAAACAGTTTATTTGTAACTCTGCACCAATGTATGTATTTTTCCTAAAAAAAATATTATTATTATTATTAATTTTCTTACCTAACCTTTTGTAGTCATTTATGTTTAAATTTGCTTTAACTTCTTCGAAAGCTATTTTTAGCAGTTTGTTTTCCTCTTCCATGGCTTTGTAATTTGTTTCCAATTGATTCTTGTCCTTGCTTATGCAAGGACAAGAATCTTCTAATGAGTCTTTCATTAACTCCTGAAGACCTAATACTTTGCTACTCAAATGGTCATTATTTTCTTTCAATTTTCTGATTGTTTCTACATGACAATTAACTATAATATCCCTATCCCTATCTTAATTATGGAATTTGTGCATGGGGTTCAACCACTACGAACCACTTCAAGTCCATCATCACCCAGCAAAAATCTGCTATCGGAACAATAACAAACTCGGCTTTCAGACAACACTCAGCCCCCTTCTTTAAATCACTAAACATGCTAAACATAACCTCACTCCACACTCCCTCTTGTGCCATCTACATTTACAAAACCCCATTTTGAAATGCAAACTCTGTTCTGAAACTCTCCCTGGACAGGTGTAATAGGACCCATAATCACCACACCAGAAATAAATATCTCCTTAACCACTGCACTGCGCAAAGCGCCTTTAGGCGCTCTAAGAGTTGTGAGTTTTGTTTTTTAATTAGACTATAGTTTTATGTTTTTTAATGTTTTCATTACTCTTTGTGTTCTGAAAGGGAAATAGTTGACTTTGGAAACATTTTGACATTAAACTTTACCTGAGCATTTATGAAAACAACAAAAATATGTCGTTGACAATTGCACCAAGACTTTTTTGCCGAAAATGTGTGAGCAGTGCAGGGGTTAATATCCCGTCACTCTTAATCTGTGAAAACACTATGCAAATAAAGGGACCTAGTCTATGGAATTCACTCCTAATGAATTTAAAAGCTGTCCAACTTTTGCCTTATTCAAAACCAAACCAAAAAATACCTAATTTCATCTTCATAGTTTCCTACCCAGTGCTCGAAACTCGCACTGTATCTAGTGCTACCCAATCCCTGGATACTTATTTACCTAAGCCATTCAACTTTACCATTGTGATCATTGCTGTGATCTTAAATGTGCTATCAATATGCTTTATTGTGCCTATTAATCTGTCAAATTATCAATCAAGCTATCAGTGCTATCAGTCAAAGCTATCAATGTCTTTTAATATACCTACTAATCACTCTCAATTTTTTCTTACAATGTACCTGTTAACATTTTATAAATTTTGCTAGAATTTACCTACTTAATATTATCTGTTAGTTAAGGACCTGCCCGAAACACTATACATACTAGTGGCTTTATAAGAATGTTAACACAATGCATTTGTACTCTCACAAACCCAATGTTCCTTCTTGTATATATATAAATAAATAAAATAAATAAATAAATAAATAAATATCTAATTTTGTTAACCTGTTGTGTAGACTGTCTATATCAATACCTTCTTCATTTAAAAACACAAATACAAAACAAAATACAAATACTTATTCAGGTAAAGTACATACATACAAGGTAAGATACAAAAGTTGATGGATTTATAGATAGAGCTAGTACATACAATGCCTAAAGCCACTATTACGCAAAGCGTTTCGGGCAGGAAAAACACTAAGACTAAAACTTAATACTAATTGAGATTAAAGTATAAATTGTGTTGAGAAAAAATAAGAAAAAAATGGAAAAAGGGGGGGGGGGGAGGAACATGGCAGAAAAAACAAAAATACAATTTGATCAACAAAACAGCATCGTTTAAAATAGCAGACATGGGTTGACATTATAGGGGTAAGGTAGGTTACATTGAGTTAATCAGGCAGTACTTAGTTTTTATCTTAAACTGGTTGGGAGAGGTACAGTCTTTAACATAATTGGGAAGGTCATTCCACATTCGAGGTCCCTTGATTTGTAAAGCATTTCTAGTTTGACTAAGTCGTACTCTTGGAATATCAAATAGGTATTTGTATCTGGTGTGGTGCTCAGGGGATCTGTTACAACCTTCTAGGAAGCTTTTAAGGTCAGGATTTACATTACAGTTCAGCATTTTATGTATATGAAATACACACGAGAGGATGTGCAGGGACTTGATATCTAACATATTCAGTGATTTGAGTAAGGATACCGAGTGATGTCTGGGGCCAGAGTTAGATATTGTCCTAATAGCAGCTTTGTGTTGAGTAATTAGAAGACGTAAATGATTTTAGGTTACCTTGCCTTGAGGTTACCTTGAGGCGATTCCAGGGCTTAGCGTACCCGCGGCCCGGTCGTCGACCAGGCCTCTAGTAGAACCCCAAGCACAAATACCATAGTTGAGAGAATAATAGAGTGTCACCAGGGCAGGGCGAGGTACATAATATCTGATCTTAGAAAGAATACCAACTGTTTTTTATTTTTTTTTATATATTTAGAATGTGTCCCTGGAAATTCAGTTTGCTGTCAATGAGAACGCCAAGGAATTTGCCATCTACTTTGTTACAAATTTGGGTATGGTTAATCCTGAGATTTATTTGATTTGAGGATTTATTGCCAAACAAAATATAGAAAGTTTTGTCAATATTGAGGGTGAGTTTGTTGGCAGTTAGCCAGTGATGGACTTTATTTAGCTCAGTATTCACTGACATTTAGAGCAAGACTGGAGTAAATGAAGGTCGTGTCGTCAGCAAATAGAACTGGTTTGAGATGTTGGGAGGCATTTGGAAGGTCATTAATGTAGATGAGAAAGAGGAGAGGGCCAAGTATGCTGCCCTGGGGAACACCAATGTTGATGGGTAGGGTGGGAGAAATTGAATTATTCACAGAAACATACTGGAGCCTGTCAGTAATACACAGTAATACGAAGTCTAGCTCAAGTATATTCCAATAAGATCACTATAAAGTGATGTATGTTATTCAGTCATGAAGCAAAATAATACACAAAATCACTTTGATATTTCAATTTAGTAAAATCTCAAAACAAGCCTAAATAAGAAAAATTCAAATGTGCTTCTAGTTCCTAAATATAAGTTAAGCGACATATTTTATGTCAATAAAATAGTCTCATTATGAATACATCTCAAACCATTTTCTGTTCCCTGCTTCAATGTTTAATACAATGATTAGTACAAATGAAAAGGAACAGAAGATGAAAATAAACCTGAATACCTCGTGCAGTGGAGCTTTATCTGTTGGGGTGAAACATTTTTCACAAATAAAAAAACAAAAAGACCTTTAGGACGTCCAATTGACAAGGTGATAGTAGGATAATTTTGGGAGGAAACTCACAATCTACAAACTTTACATTGCAATAATGTTAAGTTAATATACTAACACTGTAGGAGCTTTATTAAACTTTAACATTCTCTGAATGTTGTCACACATTAAAAATGTTTACCCTATCAACCGAATGTACCATCATGTGCTTTTTCATACTTGATAGACGACTGAATGTCTTTCTACACTCTGGACACTCATGAACTTTATCATTTGTATGTACCAAGATGTGATTTTTCATATTTCCAAGCTGACTGAACCTTTTCCCACACTCTGGACACTCATAAGGTTTCTCACCCGTATGTACTAACATGTGACACTTTATACTTCCAGGATGACGGAATCTCTTCCCACACTCTGGACATTCATGAGGTTTACCATCTAAATGCACTACCATGTGCTGTGCTATACGTCCACGTTCCTTAAATGTTTTGCCACACTCGGCACACTCAAAAGGCCTTACATCTGTATGCACTACTCTGTGTCTCTTTATACTTCCAGGCCGCCTGAATCTCTTTCCACACTCTGGACACTCATCACGTTTATCAGCAGTATGTACTAACATGTGACTTTTCATACTTCCAAGATGACAATACCTTTTCCCACACTCTGGACACTCATAAGGCTTATCATCCGAATGAACTAACATGTGACGCTTCATAGTTCCATAATGACGGAATCTCTTCCCACACTCTGGACACCCATGAGGTTCATCATTAGTATGTACTACAATGTGACGTTTCATACTTTTAAGATGACGGAATCTTATCCCACACTCTGGACACCCATGAGGTTTATCATTAGAATGTACTAACATGTGAGTCTTCATACTTCCACGATGAAGGAATCTCTTCCCACACTCTAGACACTCATGAGGTTTATCATCTAAATGCACTACCATGTGCTGTACTATACTTCCACGATTCTTAAATGTTTTGCCACACTCGGCACACTCAAAAGGCCTTCTGTCAGTATGTACTACTCTGTGCCTCCTCATATTTCCAATACACCTGAATCTTTTTCCACACTCTGGACACTCATAAGGTTTATCATCAGTATGTACTAGCATGTGACTCTTCATATTTCCAAGCAACCTGAACCTCTTCCCACACTCTGGACACTCATGAGGCTTAACATCAGTATGTACTAGCATGTGTGCCTTCATATTTCCAAGCCGATTAAACATCTTCCCACACTCTAGACACTGGTGAGTTTTCATCTTCTTTATGATAGGTGGAGTTTGTGTGAAGGTTTTTCTCCTCTGGCCGACCCCACGAGTGGTGATGTTGAGAGACGCGTCACGGTAGTGTCAATGTTGAGGGTTAGGCAAGGCTTGAGTGTTGTTTCTTAGAGTTAAGACTTGATGTGAGCACTTGGCGGTCAATGGTGGTGCTTCTTCTTTATGTTAGGTGCAGTTTGTGTGAAGGTTTTCCCTTAATGCTGCTGATTATGGAGCCACGATGGCAGCGGTGCTGGATGTGCTCTGGCGTTTTCTTGAAGGGTAAAATACAAAGCCGTGTGGCTACATTAGCGTCGCCTGACTCCACCACGCCGCCGCCGGACAGTCTTCCCGCACTAATAACCAGCCGGAAAACTTAAAAAAAACTTCCTTGTGGCCCCGGACGATAAGGCGCCAGGCGTCGCAATAATCCAGACAGTTGAAGAGGAACGCCTGACGGTGGTATCGAGAGCCAAGGGGGTAATGTCCAGTCACGTGGTCCGGCGGAGGCGATGTAAACACGGTGTTCTACTTGTTGATCTCGTAATGGCGACGGACGCTTACACTCCCGTGTCTAATTTTACGTTTTTTTTTATTTATATATAAACGTGTTCTTATAGGCGTGTACAGTCACTAGTACGCATAACGTTTCGCGCAAGTGATTAATCCTAATATTCACACACACACACACACATCCCAGGAAGCAGCCTGTAGCAGCTGTCTAACTCCCAGGTACCTGTTTACTGCTAGGTGAACAGTATGTGAAGGTGAAGGTGATGTTTCTTATATCAGGGCGAAAGAAACTCTGCCCATTTGTTTCCGCCTATGCCCTGGATCGAACCTGGACCCTTAGGACTAACAACGCCGAGCACAGTCCACTCAGCCATCAGGCCTCACAATTTTTCCCGGTCAGCAAACTTAGGGTAAACTATAGTATACTTGAGTGTCGGTGCATTTTGTCAAATCAAAATCAAATCAATTATTTATTCAGATAAGGTTCATACATACAAGGTGAGATACAAAAAAACGTTGATGGATTTATAGATAGAGCTAGTACATACAATGCATCTATATGTATATACATCTACATACAATGTATGTACATACAATACACTATCTTACAGGTAACTATCCACAGTCTCTGTACCTAACGCCTGCAAATTCCACTGATGTTAATGAAATAATCCTTTCCCTTAAAACCAAGTCTAGTACCCTTGAGGAGATACCAACTCTTATTTACAAAAAAGCCTCCAGATCTTTAGCCCCTGCTATTGCATTGCTCTTCAACAAGTCACTTGAACTCCAAACCTTTCCAGATATTATAAAAAAAAGCAAGAGTAACGCCTGTCCACAAATGTGGTGATCTCACAGATGTTAACAACTACAGACCTATATCAATTCTGCCTAACCTGTCAAAATTATTTGAAAAACTAATCTGCAAGCAGTTTTACTCTTATCTAGCCAAACACAATATACTTAGCTCTCGTCAATATGGCTTCAGACCCAAAAGAGCACTAACGATGCACTTATTAGTATGATTAACTTGATACATGCAGCTCTTGATAAAAATGAGTTCCCTGTTGGGTTGTGGACCTGCGTAAGGCTTTTGACACTGTCAACCACCAAAACCTTCTTAAATTACATCATTATGGAGTCAGAGGTCATTCCCTGCAATACCCCCAAAAATTCTTTACTGACAGGTTCCAGTATGTTTCTGTGAATAAAATCACACTAAATCACTCCTAGTCACGTGGGAAGGGTCAGCTGGATCCTCTTCTGCCAAAGGTATCAGAGGGCTCAGCAGGCCTCCATGTATTAAATGTGAGGGACTCAGGGGTTCTCTCTGTGAGAAGTCATCTGATAGGTAAGTTAAAGGGCGGTTGTTGACTCGTGCCTCAATTTCTACGACGAATGTTTGTAGTTCAGGGAAACTAATTTTCTGTCGATGCATGTTTTTCCTTAAACATTTCTTGACAGTCCCTGTCATACGTTCGTAGATCCCACATTGCCAAGGGGCTCTGGGAGCTATAAATTTCCAGTGGCATTGTCGTCTCTGCATGACAGACTGCACTTCTGGATGATTCCATATCTCTCGTAGGCAGGCTTCTCCTGCCACAAAATTTGAACCATTATTGGATATCATTAGTTTGGGATAGGATCTGCGAGCTGCAAATCTACGAAAAGCTTGGATGAAGGCTTCAGCACTCATGTCTTAAGTCACTTCTAGGTGTACGCCTCGTGTGGTTGCACACGTGAAGAGGCAGATATAAGCTTTCACTGGTACCTTATCTGGAATGCCAGTGAGAAGTAAGGCTCCTGTGTAATTGACACCAGTGGTCTCAAAAGGACGAAGATGGACTACTCTCTCCTTAGGGAGTGGTGGAGGTCTGTTAAGGACACACTCGAGCGTCGTATCTTTTGCAGATTACACAGGACTTAATGAGTGATTTCACAGTTTGATGACATTGGGAAAGCCAATATTTCTGTCTCAAGTCGGTGAGAGTGTCGAACACTCCACCATGTAAGGTATTATATTGATGATGGTGTAAAACTAGAAGTTTCGTAATAATGTGGTGACGTGGTAGAAGGATCGGATTCTTTGTATCCAAATCAATTTCTGCATGAAGCAGACGTCCTCCACACCTTAATACCTTATAATCACCTTAATCTCAATAACCTTGAGAAGAAGTATAGGTTAGGAACCGTCTCCAAAGAATTCTCAAAGAATTACTCGTTATTGCTATCTAAAATAATTAGACGAGCCAAAACTAAATACTACGAAGATAAATTTACCCAAATAAAGAGCAACCTTAAAAAAACTTGGAGCACAATTTCACAAATATTGGGATCAAAGAAGACTTTAAATAACAAACCAACACTCCTGTTCAATAACGATGGTCAGCTTTCAGCCTCTGATTCTGCTATTGAGTTCAATAGGTTCTTCTCTTCCATTGGGTCATCCCTTGCTAATGATATTCCATCTTCCAGTACTGATGTTAAGGACTATCTTACAGGTAACTATCCACAGTCTCTGTACCTAAAGCCTATTAATTCCACTGACGTCAATGAGATAATCCTTTCCCTTAAAACCAAGTCTAGTGCCCTTGAGGAGATACCAACTTTAATCTACAAAAAAGCCTCCAGATCTTTAGCCCCTGCTATTGCATTGCTCTTCAACAAGTCACTTGAACTCCAAACCTTTCCAGATATTCTAAAAAAAAGCGAGAGTAACCCCTGTCCACAAATGTGGTGATCTCACAGATGTTAACAACTACAGACCTATATCAATCGTGCCTAACTTGTCAAAAATATTTGAAAAACTAATCTACAAGCAGCTTTACCTTATCTAGCCAAACACAATATACTTATAGCTCTCGTCAATATGGTTTCAGACCCAAAAAAAAGCACTAACGATGCACTTATTAGTATGATTAACTTGATTCACGCAGCTCTTGATAAAAATGAGTTCCCTGTTGGGTTATTTGTGGACCTGCGTAAGGCTTTTGACACTGTTAATCACCAAAACCTTCTTCTTAAATTACATCATTATGGAGTCAGAGGACACTCCCTACAATACCTCAAATCTTATCTTACTGACAGGCTCCAGTATGTTTCTGTGAATAATTCAAATTCTCCCACCTTACCCATCAACATTGGTGTTCCTCAGGGCAGCATACTTGGCCCTCTCCTCTTTCTCATCTACATTAATGACCTTCCAAATGCCTCCCAACACCTCAAACCAATTCTATTTGCTGACGACACAACCTTCATTTACTCCAGTCCTGACCCCCTTGCTCTAAATGCCACAGTAAATACTGATCTAAATAAAGTCCATCTTTGGCTAACTGCCAACAAACTCACCCTTAACATTAATGGATAAATAATTCTAATAATGGAAGCGCTAATTATATGAACAAGTGCCATGTATTTATTCAGACGAGAACAACAGCGAACACAAACCAGCGCATATACGAACGGAATGGTTTGTATGTACAAACTTCTCAGTGAACGAAGTTGTTTCTAGCCCGGTATCCGAAATTGCAGTATACGACTTGACCAGTCCCCGGTTGGAGCCCCATACCCATCCTGTGGGTTGTAGTGGACGCCATACCCTTCCTGTGGGTGGTATTGGACCCCATACCCTTCCTGTGGGTGGTATTGGACCCCATACCCTTCCTGTGGGTGGTATTGGACCCCATACCCTTCCTGTGGGTGGTATTGGACCCCATACCCTTCCTGTGAGTGGTATTGGACCCCATACCCTTCCTGTGGGTGGTATTGGACCCCATACCCTTCCTGTGGGTGGTATTGGACCCCATACCCTTCCTGTGGGTGGATGTGATCCCCATACTCGTCCTGTGGGTGGATGTGACCCTCATACCCATCCTGTGAGTGGTATTGGACCCGTTACCCACCTAACAGGTGGTAGTGGACAATATACCCATCCTAGCTATAGTTGGTATAGTAGACGCAATACCATCCTGTTTGCAGTAGTTAACCCCATAGACATTCCAACATAACATCGTTTTCTGTTAGCGTTCCTAGAAAACATCCTTTAAAGATTTGTAAAGCACAAACTATGGTATATAATATTGATTGGTGAAGGACTGTTATTCTATGTAATAATTTTTAGTGCTTATTATAATTTACTAAGAACAACTAATATTTCTCAAAACAAAACTACGAGCCTTCAATAGGAAGTAGCTGATCTGTAATATTCTAAGAGCATGGACAATAGTAGGTAAATTTCACAACCCATGTGGGACGCGAACACTACAATTTTCCATATAATTGAACCAATCACGACTATTCTGCTATCTAGGTTGACGGATGGGTACTGTGAGACGTAAATTGGTACGTGAGGAAGAGTTTGGGCCTTAGAAAAAAAAGTAACTGGGAATATATCATATATTTACTAATTCATATTCAACTTATTGACTTTAAGCATTAAGTCATATATGTGCTGTCTTGTGTGAGAACGGGTTGAAGGACAAGACTGCAAAGTCTCTATTTCATTGCCCAAACAACAGCTGCAAGTTGCAACATCTGCACAGCTTTGGGTTTGAACAAGCATATTTTATTGAACAAGTATATTTTATACTCTGGTATTGTGGACACAGCATTCTCTTAGTAACTTTGTGCTATAAACATAATAACTGGAGAAGGTTGCTTTTCTCATGCTACATGATTGTGTTTTGAAGATATATTGTGCATCTTTCTTGTTTGCAAGTTATCTCTGAACTTCTTGATCTGTGTGACGGTGTTGAATATTTTTGGGCAGTTCTTCTGTGAGGTTTTGTCAACGATCGAGCCATCTCCAGGGTGCAGGGGTGCCCCCTTACTGAGCTTGTTCCAAAGGTGGATTGCAACAGTATTTTGAGGCCAAGTCTTAGAACTGCCACCACCAGATACGAAGAACTCTTCCCAGTGACTCCAGTAGATCGGGTAGAAGGTGGAGGGAGCTGTGGAAACATTACTACCATGAGCGGCCGGATATATTAGCAGTAAGACTGAACGGTAAACATGTACTATACCAAGTGTGCTATCAACTATTTCCCAACAACAGGGAAACCATTATTAATGTCTTGCATGACTATATGTCAGCGATGTTTGCATGCACTTCATGGTCCAAGCCCCATAGTGAATGAGGGTTACGTCCACTCACCCAATATTACGAGATCCTTGCAGTTGTGAATGTCAGCAATGTTCTGGATGTTGCAAGCCTTCCTCACCACCCTCTGGAAGACTCCTGGACCGTTATAGGCCCAAACATTGCCCCGAAAGTGTTCCGTCAGCTCCCTGATGGCCTCTTCACACACCCAGTGATCCTTAGGGAGTCTGAGGAGATATTTCATGAATTTAAAACAGGAACGTGCAGAGATCTGTCAAGATCTTCATAATTAATACCATTATATACACAAATTTACAGATTTGCATACCTCTAAATGTTAACAAGTGGCTCATCTTGATGACCAAACCACACACCAGAAGATGAGGACATGATGACGTTTCGGTCCGTTCTGAATCATTATCAAGTCGACTGTCACAACCAACTTGATAATGGTCCAGGACGGAGCGAAACGTCGTCATCTCCTCATCTTCTGGTGTGTGGTTTGCTAGTATTATATCATTACACACTTGTGTGATGTCCATGGAATACGTGGCACTTTGAGGTTATAAGGGTAGTAACAGAAGGCTGATACCTTATATCATATATTCCAACCATTAACCCTACAAAGAAATATTAAAATATGTCGCAGATGTTTTGATGTTATTAAAACCTGGAGGGATGAACAACATAACTACTTATTTCGAATACGAACTTGAAGGCACTATTGGTGAGGTAGTCCAAGCGTTCACTTCCAACCCATGACTCGCCGGAAGGCAAGGGTGCCATTGTCCACACGTCCAAGTCAAGGTAAATACCTCCCACAGAGCACACCACACCAAGACGTAGCGCATCCGACAAATTGATTCCAGGCCAGTCTGTTGAGACAGAGACTTGTAAAACTACTGCTAACTCTAGCGTAGTCTGTTGAGACAGAGACTTGTAAAACTACTGCTAACTCTAGCGTAGTCTGTTGAGACAGAGACTTGTAAAACTACTGCTAACTCTAGCGTAGTCTGTTGAGACAGAGACTTGTAAAACTACTGCTAACTCTAGCGTAGTCTGTTGAGACAGAGACTTGTAAAACTACTGCTAACTCTAGCGTAGTCTGTTGAGACAGAGACTTGTAAAACTACTGCTAACTCTAGCGTAGTCTGTTAAGACAGAGACGTGTAAAACTAGTGCTAACTCTAGCGTAGTCTGTTGAGACAGAGACTTGTAAAACTACTGCTAACTCAAGCGTAGTCTGTTGAGACAGAGACTTGTAACACTACTGCTAACTCAAGCGTAGTCTGTTGAGACAGAGACTTGTAACACTACTGCTAACTCAAGCGTAGTCTGTTGAGACAGAGACTTGTAACACTACTGCTAACTCTAGCGTAGTCTGTTGAGACAGAGACTTGTAAAACTACTGCTAACTCTAGCGTAGTCTGTTGAGACAGAGACTTGTAACACTAGTGCTAACTCTAGCGTAGTCTGTTGAGACAGAGACGTGTAAAACTACTGCTAACTCTAGCGTAGTCTGTTGAGACAGAGACGTGTAAAACTACTGCTAACTCTAGCGTAGTCTGTTGAGACAGAGACTTGTAAAACTACTGCTAACTCTAGCGTAGTCTGTTGAGACAGAGACTTGTAAAACTACTGCTAACTCTAGCGTAGTCTGTTGAGACAGAGACGTGTAAAACTACTGCTAACTCTAGCGTAGTCTGTTGAGACAGAGACTTGTAAAACTACTGCTAACTCTAGCGTAGTCTGTTGAGACAGAGACTTGTAAAACTACTGCTAACTCAAGTGTAGTCTGTTGAGACAGAGACTTGTAAAACTACCGCTAACTCTAGCGTAGTCTGTTTGAGACAGAGACTTGTAAAACTACTGCTAACTCTAGCGTAGTCTGTTGAGACAGAGACGTATAAACTACCGCTAACTCTAGCGTAGTCTGTTGAGACAGAGACGTATAAACTACCACTAACTCTAGCGTAGTCTGTTGAGACAGAGACGTATAAACTACTGCTAACTCTAGCATAGTCTGCTGAAACTAACATACTTAATTCTAACAGGGAGAGGAAGCCTGTGTATATATACGATATATACCTTAGGCTTGTATTAAGGTCCCTTCCCCAAGGTTGAATTACTGACTTGAGTCAGGATGCAACCCACAACAGTTGCATAACTCCCGGGAGCCTCTTTACTGTTAGGAGAACAAGTGTTAAGTGAAAGGAACGAGCCCATTTCTGTCTCGCCAGGGAATTGAACCCGGGTCCCCTATTGTGGGTCTAGACCGAAGTCAGCTGTACCACAACCCCCCCCCCCTCTCCACATCTCCTTCCTTGAATAAACACACAATAGCCTGGGGTGTTGGAGATACATATGTAAAACTAATTGGTCTGTTGGAGATACATATGTAAGATTAATTGGTCTGTTGGAGATACATATGTAAGATTAATTGGTCTGTTGGAGATACATATGTAAGATTAATTGGTCTGTTGGAGATACTATGTAAGATTAATTGGTCTGTTGGAGATACTATGTAAGATTAATTGGTTTGTTGAAGATACTTATGTAAGAATAATTGGTTTGTTGGACACATGTAGAATTAATGTTAAAAAGATGGTCAGAACTGAGGTTCTTAACTTTCAGAAATAAAGAGTTTACAGCCAATGTCCTGGGAATTAAAACTTATTTGTTTATCCTCTACTGTTCTTATCTTCTATTATCTTCTACCTGGAAATTTCTGCAAGCTTTTCCTGATAGCTAAGATTTGTTGGGAATAAGATAGGCATGTGCTTTGTTTTGATATATATAAATACTCTAATATAAGCATATACACTATGTTCAAAATGTGTAATATAAGCATATATACACCAGGTTCAAAATGTGTAATATACTGTACATATAGAGTATTAGGGTGAGCTGTAATATCACCTCATACCTGATCCATTACCTCATACCAACACTACTGTATCGCCGCCCCCTCATACCAACACTACTGTATCACCGCCCCCTCATACCAACACTACTGTATCACCGCCCCCTCATACCAACACTACTGTATCACCGCCCCCTCATACCAACACTACTGTATCACCGCCCCCTCATACCAACACTACTGTATCACCGCCCCCTCATACCAACACTACTGTATCACCGCCCCCTCATACCAACACTACTGTATCACCGCCCCCTCATACCAACACTACTGTATCACCGCCCCCTCATACCAACACTACTGTATCACCGCCCCCTCATACCAACACTACTGTATCACCGCCCCCTCATACCAACACTACTGTATCACCGCCCCCTCATACCAACACTACTGTATCACCGCCCCCTCATACCAACACTACTGTATCACCGCCCCCTCATACCAACACTACTGTATCACCGCCCCTCATACCAACACTACTGTATCACCGCCCCCTCATACCAACACTACTGTATCACCGCCCCTCATACCAACACTACTGTATCACCGCCCCCTCATACCAACACTACTGTATCACCGCCCCCTCATACCAACACTACTGTATCACCGCCCCCTCATACCAACACTACTGTATCACCGCCCCCTCATACCAACACTACTGTATCACCGCCCCCTCATACCAACACTACTGTATCACCGCCCCCTCATACCAACACTACTGTATCACCGCCCCCTCATACCAACACTACTGTATCACCGCCCCCTCATACCAACACTACTGTATCACCGCCCCCTCATACCAACACTACTGTATCACCGCCCCCTCATACCAACACTACTGTATCACCGCCCCCTCATACCAACACTACTGTATCACCGCCCCCTCATACCAACACTACTGTATCACCGCCCCCTCATACCAACACTACTGTATCACCGCCCCCTCATACCAACACTACTGTATCACCGCCCCCTCATACCAACACTACTGTATCACCGCCCCCTCATACCAACACTACTGTATCACCGCCCCCTCATACCAACACTACTGTATCACCGCCCCCTCATACCAACACTACTGTATCACCGCCCCCTCATACCAACACTACTGTATCACCGCCCCCTCATACCAACACTACTGTATCACCGCCCCCTCATACCAACACTACTGTATCACCGCCCCCTCATACCAACACTACTGTATCACCGCCCCCTCATACCAACACTACTGTATCACCGCCCCCTCATACCAACACTACTGTATCACCGCCCCCTCATACCAACACTACTGTATCACCGCCCCCTCATACCAACACTACTGTATCACCGCCCCCTCATACCAACACTACTGTATCACCGCCCCCTCATACCAACACTACTGTATCACCGCCCCCTCATACCAACACTACTGTATCACCGCCCCCTCATACCAACACTACTGTATCACCGCCCCCTCATACCAACACTACTGTATCACCGCCCCCTCATACCAACACTACTGTATCACCGCCCCCTCATACCAACACTACTGTATCACCGCCCCCTCATACCAACACTACTGTATCACCGCCCCCTCATACCAACACTACTGTATCACCGCCCCCTCATACCAACACTACTGTATCACCGCCCCCTCATACCAACACTACTGTATCACCGCCCCCTCATACCAACACTACTGTATCACCGCCCCCTCATACCAACACTACTGTATCACCGCCCCCTCATACCAACACTACTGTATCACCGCCCCCTCATACCAACACTACTGTATCACCGCCCCCTCATACCAACACTACTGTATCACCGCCCCCTCATACCAACACTACTGTATCACCGCCCCCTCATACCAACACTACTGTATCACCGCCCCCTCATACCAACACTACTGTATCACCGCCCCCTCATACCAACACTACTGTATCACCGCCCCCTCATACCAACACTACTGTATCACCGCCCCCTCATACCAACACTACTGTATCACCGCCCCCTCATACCAACACTACTGTATCACCGCCCACTCATACCAACACTACTGTATCACCGCCCCCTCATACCAACACTACTGTATCACCGCCCCCTCATACCAACACTACTGTATCACCGCCCCCTCATACCAACACTACTGTATCACCGCCCCCTCATACCAACACTACTGTATCACCGCCCCCTCATACCAACACTACTGTATCACCGCCCCCTCATACCAACACTACTGTATCACCGCCCCCTCATACCAACACTACTGTATCACCGCCCCCTCATACCAACACTACTCACCGCCCCCTCATCACTGTATCACCGCCCCCTCATACCAACACTACTGTATCACCGCCCCCTCATACCAACACTACTGTATCACCGCCCCCTCATACCAACACTACTGTATCACCGCCCCCTCATACCAACACTACTGTATCACCGCCCCCTCATACCAACACTACTGTATCACCGCCCCCTCATACCAACACTACTGTATCACCGCCCCCTCATACCAACACTACTGTATCACCGCCCCCTCATACCAACACTACTGTATCACCGCCCCCTCATACCAACACTACTGTATCACCGCCCCCTCATACCAACACTACTGTATCACCGCCCCCTCATACCAACACTACTGTATCACCGCCCCCTCATACCAACACTACTGTATCACCGCCCCCTCATACCAACACTACTGTATCACCGCCCCCTCATACCAACACTACTGTATCACCGCCCCCTCATACCAACACTACTGTATCACCGCCCCCTCATACCAACACTACTGTATCACCGCCCCCTCATACCAACACTACTGTATCACCGCCCCCTCATACCAACACTACTGTATCACCGCCCCCTCATACCAACACTACTGTATCACCGCCCCCTCATACCAACACTACTGTATCACCGCCCCCTCATACCAACACTACTGTATCACCGCCCCCTCATACCAACACTACTGTATCACCGCCCCCTCATACCAACACTACTGTATCACCGC